AAAATAAAAACCTGCTGCAGCCAGTAAAATAAACGTGGTTTCTATCAGCGCTTCAGACGGTGGTGTCGCGGTGCACACTGTGGGCGTCTGTTCTAACTGACAGGCCCTGAGAGAAACGCCTTTGTTCTGCCCACCTACCCATCCTCGTTCTGTCCCACAAAGAAACATCTTTGTGCTTCTGTATTCAAGGGTTTTTGGGGGACCTCGGGGAATACTGGGTACTCTTTGCCGTGACAGTTTTTCTCCTCCCGCGCGAGGCTAGTACAAACAGCACGTGTGAGAGAGTTCACGTCTGTCAAGGATGGACATTTACTTTGTAGGTCCATCACATGCACGTCGGTCCCGTTTTCCAAGACACCATCTTCCGCTCGGAGGCCGTCCAGCTTGCCGTTCTTCTGCCTCTCCTCCAGCTGCCTTTTGAGTTTCTTAATCTGAAAACACCCACCGGTAAAATATGTTAATTTCTCTATTCCAAATGAGACTGAAAGCTGCACTTAGAGCCTCTGAGAAAGGAAGCAGCATGTCAGGCAAAAACCGACACCCAGCGGTGCAACGGCGCATTGCCTTGCAGTTCGGGTGTCTCCCGGGCGCCAGAGAGACGGGGCTCGTAGCGAAGCCCGCGATCAACATGGTAAAGGGTTACGGCCCACCCTACAGCCCCCCAGCCACACAGGGGATCCCGCCCCTTTCATAAAGAAACCAACACAAACAAATAAAAAACCTCTGCCAATTAGTACTCTTCTCGGGAAGAAAAGTAAACGTTTTTTACAACATCAGCCCTGAATTATTTTGTGGCTCTGGGTGAAAAGTTATTTCTAAAATTGAAATTCCTCTAGACTCAGGAGGAGGTTGTACATAAAATACTTCAAACGTTTATCGGTTAGCAAGTCAGTGCCCCATTAAACTGTATTCACTAAGAAACCAGAAAGGCCCTGTGCAGCCTTCTGGGCTCAGATGTATCTCAATTAAATCCCCAACAAAGTTCTCCGTGCACTTTCCCACAGAACTCGGTCATGCTGCAGGTGTGCTCAGAGGCGGGTTGCCAGCCTCCAGGAAGACGGTCTCTACACAGCTTTCCTCTCTCCAAGAGAGCAACAGAAACAGTCTTTCTGCTGTGCTTGGTGTGGAGCGGGAAACCCCTAATTAAATACAAACCATCAGTGCAGGCTGCTTTAAGGAATAAGTACAGAATTCCAATGGATACATGTTTTTAGAAGATCACAGGGAGTTCAAGAGAATCCTCCCACTATATTTAGTGCTTTAAGCAACGGACAGAATCTTCGACAGAATTGTAAAAAGTAAGGCAAATACACTTGATTAGGCTCATGAGGGAAAATCGGAAGAATTGAGTTTCTTTAGATTGTTGTGGAATGATTTAATAAATATCCTCCATTAAAAAAGGATCAAATAGGACAGCTGTTCAGTATTTCTCGAGGTGGGTGAGAGCACTGACGATAAACCACAGTTAGAACAACTGTGATCAGCTATCACAGACACACACCTGCCAGGAAGAGTCACCGAGAGAGCACAAAACTGATGTTATGACAAGCAGAAGTCAGAGGAGTGGTGTTTGGAATGACTCAGCCTTGCCACTCCATGGCAATCTAGGTCTTTTACGCTAGTATTTATTTTAGGCAGCAATTCGGTAACATGCACCACATTCAGTTCCCTGGCTGTGAGTCCGAGACATCCTCATGAAACCTCGTATGACTCACCATGTTCTATTTGGATAAAAATATTAAGACCACCAGTTGGCTTGGTAATTGTTTTCAGGCATGATACATTTAGAGGTTTTCTGAGTAAGCAACCCCTGTTCGAGAACCCATAAAGTAATAAAAAGATTATTACCTGTTCCAATAAGCATTCCCGCTCGTCAACAAGCTTTTTCAACCTAATATCTAAAGAAATCAGAAAGATACGGGTTTAGGCGATTCTGTGGACCGCGCCTTTCAGCACATGGCTAAATTGAAGAATGACTGTTGAGGTTAGTGAAACGAATGATGAAGGTAGTTATACACACGTACCATGGTGAATGAGGCCACAGACAGGACTGGGGGAGAACTCAGCCAAGGGGGGTTGGGTCAACCGCCCAGAACATGCTTCACGTCGGGAGCGGCTTCCGGCTGCATGCAAACAGGCTAATCTTCTACCTTAGGTTAGCATGCAAGAACTCTAGGGCCAAGCCACGCTGCAACACAAGATCTCACAGGCTTCATGGTTTAACATCGTTAGCAATGTAGAAACATACCGATAATCACGATTCAATAGCACCAACATTTTAATTATCCTCGCCTTTCTGAGTTTACATCTCAGAAGTGTTTATCTTTCTCAATTCTCTCATAGACTCATCAATGTCATAGTTTTGACTACATGTTCATGAACCCTAAGGCCACTGACAGCACACCCGCTCACCCAGTTACCAGAAGCTGTTATTCTTTCCAGGAAAAATGCAGTGATGGTTTAGGTGTCTGTCATTCCTCCCACCACACATAAATGAAGATGCGTATCTATTAAGTGTCTCTAAATTCTCCAAACATCTCTCTCACGGGGTGTCAAGTACTATAATCTTCAGATTCAGAGGAGGAAACCAAGGCCTGGGGAGAGTTTGGGGATTGGGTAAAAACGCACTGACTGGCTGACTGCGGTTCTTCTCGCTCCCTCCTCACACCCACTTGGTCTGACTGTAGCTCCTGCCCGAGCCCAGCCTCCTGCCGGGAGAGCAGCTACCCCCTGCAAAAGGCAGGGCTGGCCCAGCCGCTGGAGCCGCGGCACTTCCTCCTATTTCAAGGCCCGGGGGACTGCAGAGTTAGGAAATACATGCCTACGTCAGCCACCAGCCATTCGCATCTCAAAGAATATGTAAGAGAGACAGCAAAGGAAAGACAAAGAGTGGAAGGATGTTCCTCTTGAAGAACAAAGTTTTCTACATACATGATCACACTCTGAGCGAGCCCATATTCTGAACACGACACACGCACGCCCCTTTCCTTCAGGGGCCCGCACGTTGGAACCACCTCGCTGCTGCGCTCCTTTGGCTCTGTGGCTGCGGCGCACGAGGTCTTCCAGGAAAGGAGGCTACCGATAGAAAACACGAACCCCAAACCGTCTGTGCCCCAGAATTAGCATTCCAGAGTCCTTGTGACGGTGGAAATTTAAATGGGCATTAGGTCTTCTGTTAACTGCAAACACTGAGAATTGTAGAAAGTAGTGAACGTCCTACATCTCATTCTTAAAAATTCTGCTCGCTGACCTTTGTATATTGTAACAACCTATAATTCAAAAATCTACCTTCCCCTATTTTCTACATACGCCCATAACTATACTTAATTATACCTTTGGGACAAGATTTACATCTACACACAGGCCCTGTGTTCTGGTTCGGGGCTGAAAAGTACCAGGCTTTTTGATGTCCGGTATCACCGATCGGCGTTTTCCTCTGTTCCGTATGATAGTGACCCTCAGCGGTCTAGGGATAGGGCTGGCAGGTAACCTTTCGATTCTTTCCTGAGATTGACTCTTTTGACATTGAAATCTTTCAGAATTGCCTTACACAGTTACCTGCCTTTTTATTAAAAGCTGACTATACCTAAGTGAATCATTTTTTGATAACTTAAGGGCCTTTGCTGTGAATGTCAATTACTGTGCCGGCTCTAACGTCATGATACGCTCAGGGCAGGGTAACCGACGTTCACGAGGAAAGCTCTGAAATGACCAAGAAACGGTTTGGCTGTTCAGTCTTTCTTTCCATCCTCTTTGCTCCGGTTCCGATTCCCAGCTGTGCACGCCCCGCTGGGTCCTACCTGCGCGTTCCCGGCACCTGCTCCCCATGGACGAAGTGATCACAACTGTGCGGTAATTAAGGGAATGAGAGCGGACAGTCCAGACTGCTGGACGGCTGGATTGAGGGTGCAGAGGGTGCCCACTGTCCCGAACGGGGCCGTTGAACAACATGGGAAAGAAAGGAAATAACTTAAAACGGTTTGATGATCTGACCATTTAGTGACTTTGGTATTGCATTGCTGCCCCACAGGCCTTTAAAAGTAGAGACCAGAGCTGTTTTCCAATGCGCATTCCAGTGTGAACGTGGCTTTGCTGAAGCGAGAGCCGTACACTGAAAAACCCTTTAACGTCCTGTAGAGCCCTTTGCCTCGATCCTCCGGCAAGCCTCAGATTTCTCGGTCATCCCCACTGTCCTCCACTTCAGGGACACTTAAGCAGAAACAGTAAACATGTTTGCTGCTTTGATCTACTATTCACACATTCTAAGTATGGGCACACTGAAGCAGAGCGACAGAACGGAGACCTTTCCTGACTGGGGTTCGTCATCAGAACCGCAGATGACAGGAGAGGATGCGAGGGACGATCTCTCACTCTCCCACGGACGGCCCACGCCAGCACCAGGCTAGACGCCAGAGAGACGTTCACTCATCCCTGACAAAGGGCATCAGGCGTGGGTCTCCCCCAGAACCCCAGCGAGAGGCAGCAACCCGGAAGCGGACAACCTTAAAGGTGGTCACCACGTAAAACAGTCGCCACAATCAGAATTCAGTTAGTCCAAAGAGTGGAACCGCAGGCTTGTAAAATTATAAAATGTGTTTATTTCAATTACATAGTAACACTTATGTTTGCCTCAACTTTTACTGAGGCTTTGGTCTTTTTGCATTCAATTATATCTCGTAACAGTAATATGAACCCACATAATCTCATAAAGTGTCAACAGCATTCATAACATACATTCCTTTGTGATGTCATATGTCACAATTTTTTAGTCTACCTTTACAATTATTTTTTAAATGCTTCTTTATATAGAAAATATATTTTTTCTTCAGGCAGATCAAAACAAGAATTTTCCAATAACAATATGCTGAGAAACAATAAATGAAAATATTTATACCAAAATACCAAAAGTGATTCAACTCTTTAAAATATCTTATGATAGTCTAATTAGTAGTCTGCACAAGAAGTAACCTTTTATATTTCTCGCTTGCATAATGATTAGACACTCAAACAGAAAGAGAAGGGATTTTAAGGTTCAAAAACATTTAATGACTTCCCTGCCCAAATACTGCAATAGGAAATGAAATTTCAACATATGCCACTTCCATAAAAAAGCTTTTTTAAAAAAATCTTAGTATAAATTGAATTGGGTACACAGCAACAGCATGAAGTGAACTCAAAGTCTCCTACAAAGTAAATTCCGGTACCATTAACAGTGAGATCCAAAAGCATTGATTTGAGATAAAAGATTTACATGAGGTAAAGGAAAGTAAGAGTCCCCTCATGCTTTGAGATATTGTTAACCCTAAAATGATTAATTATTTTCCTAAGGTGCAAATCTTATCACTCAGTGACCTATTTGCTATTTGGGTGTTTATTTCTTTTAAATACAATGCCATACGGGTTACAATGTATATACTAAAATCAAGTATGAAAGTACACATATGTGAAGGAGGCATTCATTTAAATATCGATTATACCCCTAATACAGAAATCTAAGAATGCTATTTGGTCACTTCAGTTAGAAGCTGATATGTTTGGTCAAGAACAGCCACATTCATATCAGCCTAAGGCAACTGTTCAATATTTTTATTTTATTTTAAGCTGGAATATAAATAGTATACGCTATTGTTCGATACTACTGGAATGCTCTCCCTTAGAACTTACAGTGATAACAGACATGTCTTTCTTTCCAACCTGGGTGACGACGTCAATGGTTACACGTAAATCCCCAAGCAGCGGTCTGTGCCGCAGAGCACCCGATGACTGATGTCGTGCAGCGCATCTGAATCAACTTAGAACATTCTACTTACGTCGCCAGGGGAGATGGCAGACAAGAGTCTCTTACCATTAGACTTACTGCGCAGAGTCCCTGGCCCTTCTCTAAAGCTCGGCCTCCCGTCGTGCGCCATCTGCGGCGGGCTCCGCTCAGGACATGGTGCAGTCCTCCTTGCCTTTCCCCTTCTCACTCCCTCTCCTTATATCTTCGCTGCTTCCGGAATCCAAGCCCCCCGCCTCTCCCGCTGGTGCCGAGTCGTCGCTTTCTAGACTAATGCTGTCTAAAGCTTTGTCGCCTCTCCGGCCGGGGTGTTCTGGCATGGCGGGCCCCCCTGCGCTGCCTGTCTGGGCGGCATCGTTCGTTTCCTCTGCGGGACTCTGATTTCCGAGCGGGCTGCGGCCACCGCCTGCTTCATTCTCCGGTTCTGGGGGACTGTCTTGGGCGGCACCACCTTTCTTAGTGTTACTTTTAATGACATCTTCATCTAGTTCTCTGTCGCTAACGCTAGTGCCTGAGGATGGAACTGTGTCATCTCCGAACTCTAACGTGTCTCCACCAGCTGTTACTTTCCCTGCTTGTGTTTTTACAGCTTCTTGGTTAAGTTTTCCATCCAACTCAATTGCAGGATTTTCTGGACAATCAGCATGTTCACTGCTTTCTGCTACGATGTTCTGCTCTGGATTTTTGGTCACCTCGTCTAGAGCTTCCACTGCGGACTCTCCGTCAGTGAATGTCACCTGCTCTTCCTCCTTAACTTCACTTACATCTGTGCTCTGATGTGTCACCTCTGTCTTAACATCCTTAAGGGTTTCTGCAGGTCCTGTCGATTTTTTCTTCTTGTTTTTCTTTTTCTTGTTCTTTGCCTTCCTTGGTGATGACTCCAAGGCCTCTGCCTGTTGGTCACTCTTCTCCTCCCTGGGCTCTCTCGTATCTAGGGGGTCACGTTCGGTGTCGACCACGCTTGGGCCTGTTGCCTCCTGACGATGGCTCTCGGCCGCCGGTGAACCAGGAACGTTCTGGACACCTGCCTCGACTGGTTTCTCACCCCCGAGCCCTGCTTCTTCGCTCTCTTCTTCACTGCCCTCCCTCCCTGCTTCCGTGCTCTGCGCTGGGGCCTCCTGGGGCCCGGCCACTTCCTGGCTGGTCACTTCTTTCTCTAAACTGCATCCCACGCTTGGATCCAACTCCTCCAGGGCAGCTCCCGCACGCTGCTCGCCCTGACACATTGTGCCCAGCTGCTGCCCACCCTGGGTGTCGCCTGCCTGTGCCACGTGCTCTGTGCAGCTCGCACTTTGCCCACAGGAGTCCGCGCCTTCCCTTCCCATTTCAGATGTTGGCAGAGGAGTGTGCTCCTGACACGGCTCTGAGCTAACCTCTTCCGAGTGGCTTTTAGAATCCTCTTGTTTTTCTTTTTCCTGCTTTTCCACAGATTCCTTACTCTGGTTTTCGATACCCACGGCATTATTACAACTGCCCTGCCTGCTCCTGGGACCTGGGACTTCACTGTCTAAATCGCTCAAATGGTGGCTAAGGACAGCTCCAGTCCTGTCATCTGGCACGTGTGTGACCTCATGGGACTTAACCTGCTCTACGCTTCCAAGGAGAGGGGTGTTCTCTGGATTTTGGCTCTGAACCTGTTCCTCACGTTCCGCACCCGCTAACGTCCCCAGGGAGGGCGCTTTGTCTTCATCAGAGGCTTGCTGGTCCTCGGCACTGCCCCCAGGACGTACCTCCACGTCCACACAATGCTTTGCTGCGTCCTCGGTGTGCTGCTCTTTCTCAGTATTCTGCAAGATTGCTCTTTTCCCCACACTCTCCACAATTTCATTTTTCACCTCCACTTCATTGGCTCTTCCTAAAAGACCATTAAGAAAGTTGAGGGGACCCCGCGATGTGGTAACCACTCAATATACATTAAAATGTAAACACATGTTCTAAGCCCCACCCCACGCTACTCCTGAAGAGAGGGAGGCACCAAGAGCCCCGTGAAACGGAAGCCTTCGCCAGTTCTGTGCGGCAAAGCAGCAGCTGCGCTAGTGACTTTCTGATCAGCAAAGGCCACCACCATCGCGACGGCAAGGGTGGCTGCTGGTGCCATCTTGTGTGAACGGATTTTTAAAGGTGAAGTTAAGTCTGAACAACTAGAATGAGCTCTGGATCAGGCAGCCAAACAATCCAAAATGAGGGGTTTGAGAACAGACTCAGGTTCGTGTTCCCCATTCTCATTTCTAAATGCACAACTCGACAACTCACGCTTTCCCAGCTATCAACTGCACTGCGCATCTCACTGCTCTAAAAGCAGCTTTCAAATAATTTTCTCAAAAGCACATTCAGTTCACTTTTAGAAACTCAGCCTCAAGGTCAACCTCGAGAAGATACTTTGAAACAGCTCATCCAGTGACAAGACATCTGTCTTCTACCACCTAACCGTGGTCTTCCCGAGAAAACACCCTGTCTGTGCCCTGCTACCACTCCCCAAGGGACGGGGCAGGGTACCAGCAGGAGGCAAGGGCTTAAGATCAAGAGACCACTTAATTAAATAATAAACTATTCATCAAAGAACGTATTACTGCTTTGGAATGAACAGTTGTATTTTGGATTCTCCAAACAAAATCCTAGCATGTTAGTTATAGCACCATGTTACTGAAAGTCAAGGCCGGATACTTTTATAACCAGTGGTCTCCGCGCTGGGTGCACTTATCCCAGGGAAAACGGGGTCATATTAGGGCTTCTGTTGAGAGTTAGTTTTACTTCACTCTTTAACAATTTCTGTGCATATGTTTTATAGCGTACACTTTATATTAATGAAGTAGTATACATACATACATTAAAAATAAATATATAGAGAGAGACGTTCCCACAATTCTTCACTAATAGGATATGTGATCAAAAAACATTTGGAAACCACTCACAAAACTGATACTTCTGGTTCTTTAAGCATTTCACAATGGTTATCAAAGATTTGTAAAATGTATATTTGAGTAAGAGCAGCATGATCAAATTCCTAGCTGTTCAGGTAGCTAATATAAAAATATGGCAGAAGTTAATTATCTTTTTCAATAACTTTTGCATAATTTATAAGAGCTGTGTTTCTTTAATAGTTATAAAGATAATAAATGAGTTACCTCCCTGGGAAGCAAGTCCTGAGAAGCTAGGACCTATGGGTTTCCACATTTCCATAAATACAAAGCAGCAAGATGAAAGCTTCTAAATCGAAATGAAAAGTCACGGGCCCTGTCCTTATTCCAGCCTCGCTGTAAAAAGCTGGAACACAACTGGTGAGCAGTGACGGACGAGGCCGTGTCTGCACACCACAACCTGAGGCTGCACACACAAGTCTGAAGGTTTTCCCCAAAGCCAAATGTTATCACAAACATTAATCAGTGAGTCTTTGCAGATCTCTGAAAATTTCATAAAATATTCCTACACCCTGTTGGATTCCCCAATTTTATATTCTTTCAGAAGCAAAAAGGTGGCACACCAAGGAGGCCGCCTCTGACCAGGGCGGGTGGATTCAGACTCTTGCTGGGAGGGCCCCTCCTCCGTGCGACCACCCCCACCGCCCAGGGCTGCCTGTCCCCCTCCAGGGCTGGCTCGAGAAGGGCTAGGAAGGAAGATGTGCTCTGTCACCAGCACCCCCAGAACACTGAGTGCTGTACAGACGCACAACGCTGGCTGGCACGTATGGTCAGCTAACTTCACAGCCTTCACTGTTCTCGACTTTTGACAATTCTGTAACAGAGTAAGTTCAAAAGCCACACTTGGTACGTATCTGGGGAAAACCAAATAGTGCGCTCAACACTGTCACTTGATTTGAGGTTATTTTCCTTGCGTTCACTGTCTCACTTGGTAGCTTGGGGAAGCACAAGAAACGTATACTCGAGCCACTGGTGGTGAGCACGGCACAGAGATGCACGCCAGACAACACGTGGGCGGTCATGCCACTCGGCAGGGGTTGCTACGGAGTGCGGAGACAGATGGCATGCTGAGTGACTGTTAATCGATCAGTGGTGATTGCTTCGACTCCAGTGATGCATGAAGGTGAATCAATGCTGGTTTCAGAGATGAAAGGACCCAAAGGAAAACAAATACTTACCTAGCGTCCCGTCCCCTGTCGACTTGAGGGCATTTAACTCCTCTTTTGCGATCTTGGTGGGAGCTTGGTATCCAACGTTATTTAGAGTGTCTGAAGTCTCTCCATTGGTAGCTATTTCTGAATTTAGGATTATTCCATGTTTCTGGGAACAAAAATAGGCTCGCCATAATCCTCAGTGATATCACATTAAACTCTTGTTTTATTACTAATAATAAGAAAGGAAACTATTTTTCTGGAAGTAAAGGATGACTCTACATAGGCAGAGAAGTGCTAGGGCACCACACTCATAAATATTCTATCAACACACACAAATCTGCAATGCCTTCCTCCAAAGGTGACTTCTTTCTTAGATGTTCCAATTCATGCCTTAATTTGCTGGTGACAAGATACTTCCGACAGGCACCCTATTTATTTAGTTATTTTTGAGACAGAGTCTCACTCTGTTGCCCCCGGGTAGAGTACAGTGGTGTCATCACAGCTCACAGCAACCTCAGACTCCCGGGCTCAAGCATCCTCCTGCCTCAGCCTCCCGAGGAGCTGGGACTACAGGCGCTCACCACCACGCCTGGCTAATTTTTCTATTTTTGTGTAGAGATGGGGTCTCACTCTTGCTCAGGCTGGTCTCACAGGCGTGAGCCACCGAGCCAGGCCAGGCATCCTTTTTAACCAGAGGTGATGGCCTTGGGGCTGCCACAAAGTGGCACATCAACAAATCACTGTAAAGTGACCTTTACTTTTAAAACCCTGGTGTGCATTCTTTAAAAAGAGAGAGTGAGATAAAAAGAAATATGTGTGTGTTCTGAAAGGAATGAAGGAACTTACGTTAAAGGAGGAATTAAGAGGTGGCTGGAATGTCTGGTATATTCAAAAGAAATGTAAGTCACGCTCATTACAGAGTGAAGCACTTTAAAAACAGCTACACTTCACGACTCTGGACCCCTCACCCACCGCCTCCTGCTCTTTCCCGTGTGCACGAGGAATCCCCACCCCAGTACTCGTGGCCTCTTCCGAAGCGGCATCATGAATCTTAGCTCTAGGCCTGTCCCCTGCTGGCTGACTGCTCCGGCTCCGACCCCGGAAGACAAGCAGCAGACACTGATACACTCCCGCTGGCTCTTCAGGGACTATTCGGCCACCTTCTCTCAGCAACACCTCCTACAGCACTTTGGGAGCCCACCCAGTGCGCTGCCCACCGGTTTCTAACTCTGCGCCAAGCCAGCAGCTGAAGAGCCCCTGACAGGGGCCCACACAGGACGTGGAAGTTTCCTCCTCCTGTGACTCAGTGGGTCTCCAGGTCTGATTAGCACGGGCCTTGCCCATGCCACTTACCAGACACACTGTTCAGCTAGAGAAGTCCTGACATTTGAGGCTTTCTACAAAGGAGCAAATAATTATCTGACTCTGAGTCATAGCCTGGAGAAGTTATCAATGAGGATGAGAAAAAGTTTAGATAATATATCAAAAGATTCTTGGAAATCAGAGCTGCGTTCACGATCAGCTGAGCTTGTGAACATCTAAAGGCCACAGGCTAATCCACTGCATTTGCATCTAGTTCTCGTCAGTGTCAGTTAACCTAAGATTTGAATTTATTGACGGAATTAAAATCAATGACATAAAATTAGTTAACACCAGCACACACACATATTCACAGAATCCCGGAATTTGCTGCTGTTGCCGGCATTTTTTTTTTTTAACTGTACTTTGGCTTCATACCTTTAATTCCTGTTTCAGCATGACTACTTCTTCTCTAAGATCATCTCGTTCACTCCTTATGGAATCAAAGAACTCTTTCTGCCTCTCTAATGCCTGAGCGTGCAGCAAAGAGAAAGAAGACGGGCGCGGGTGAGAAGGCACCGTGGGAAGCAGGAACGAGGAGTAGGCTCCTCCTGTCTAAGACACTAGCAGACTTAAGACATCAGAGAGACTCTGCTCAAAGGTACAAACACAATGCAAGTAGTAAGCCTTTCGTTTAGTTTATGCGAACCAAGCAACGTTCCAGTTCGTGCTCCCCGAAGCATCGGCGTTGCGCAGCACACAAACACAGCACCGGGCACCGGAGGCTACTTCATTTGCATCACTTTCTAGCTGTCTGCGGGTCACAGCCCTGCAGCGGAGAGTTAACGGGAGCGATGGGCCCATTTAAATGAGGGCCAGCAAAGAACAAGAAGGAACGCTGAAGAGCCCCCACGTGACAACGGTTTCAGCAATCTAATTATTTGTATACATTGACTCTTGGCATCTGTTGTCACTGATAAGCACCAAGTGGTCGTAAAGCAAACACACACACACGCACATGCACACAATGCTAATGAAGCGAAACGCAGGGCCACCACGTGCAGGCGTCAGTGTGCGGGACATGCTCAAGCGACTCTGGGTCTTTATCAGAGCTATGTGTGTGAGCCGCTGTTTTGGGGAAACCAAAATCACAGCAGTCACTTTGTGCGGTTCCATTCTTCCTATTCTTCAACTCTAAATGTAGGCGGGTTGCCTCTTCTTTTCTTGTGGAGGGAGAGGGGTCTGGGAGGCCTTCCCCGAGGAGATTTCAAGGTGGGAATAGCCGGGGCACAGCCCTTGCAACCTTGCAGCCTCCTCAAATCCCTTCGAGGAAAAATCCAGGCACGACCAGCCTGGGAACTGCAATGAGTCTGACCCTCCACGCGTCAGCCCTGCCTCAGAGCGCCCGTCTCACTCCCTGGGTTCAAGGGGGCTCCGCCGCTAGCAGTGCAGGCGGAGAGCGCCACGCTCATGCCCGAAGTCGGCATCCAATGCTGAGTGCACATCTGGATAAGTTAGTGTATTCATTACTTAATACAGTTACACAAATCAGATTAATTGCAATTAATTAAATTAATAAACTTTTGTGATACATGGCAACCGCATGCATACTCGGACAAGCACTTTTGCAAACCAAAATTCTGCAAGAGCTCTATTTGCTAAGCAGCCTGCCCATTTGAATAGATTTTCAAAGACTTGAGACTCCTACCCCTATCTTTTTGTCTTTCCACTCTACTGTTTCCTGAAGGTCAGAAATCTCCCTGATATAACTCGCCTGCTTCTGCTGTAGCTGTCGGATTTCCTGAGGAAAGGAACAGACAGAAAGAAAGAAGATAAAGGGTTAAGCAGGAAGAGAAGCCCCAGCGCTGGAGAACCTGGGAGCTGGGACAGTCACCGCGTTGACCCCGAACGCACTGCCAGCATCTAGGGTTGTTTCCTTGTCCTACTCCCAGCTTTAAGAGGTGCAGGAAGAAAACCTGCTTGGGTAAAATTCTCACTTTAAAGGTACCAGTTAAAGTGCGGATCGAGATAAAACATTAAAAACCAACCCTGTATTCGTTTCCTATTGCCACTCTCACAAATTACTATGGACTCAGTGGCTTTGAACAACACAAGCACATCTTCTCACGATTTTGGAGGTCAGACGCCAACATGAGTCTCACAGGCTAAAATCAAGCCCTTCTGGAAGCTCCAGCGAGGATCTGCGTCCTCTGCCTTCCTGGGTCCTAGAACTGATCGCATCCTGGGCTCCGGGTCCCCTCCTCACTCACTGCTGCACCTGCTTCCTTTGCCGCGTCCCTGCTTCTGCCTGTGACCTGCCTTCCTCTTGTAAGGGCCCTTGTGGCCACCTCAGGCCCACATCATCCAGGATAACCTGCACCGCCCCCCAGGTCTTTACTTTAATCACATCTGCAAAGTCCCTTTTACCACGTGAGGTGACGTATGTACAATTTCAAGGGATTAAGATGTGGACATCTCTGCAGGGTAGTGGTGTTGTCCTGTCTACCACACCTCCCAAAACACACACCTGACACCAAAGAAGATCTTCACCACTGACAGGATCCGTTTTCCTTAAATCAGGGATGGAGAGTCAGCTTAAACTCTGAATTTTAAAAGCACTGACAACTGCGCACATCACTATAGACTGAACTGTCCCCACCCACCCACCCAATTCACATAGTGACGCCCTAATGCCCAAAGTGACTGCATTTGGAGACAGAGTCTTTAGGAGACAGTTAAGGGTAAATGAGGTCATATGGGTGGTGCTCTGACCTCACAGGATTAGTGTCCTTACATAGACACCAAGAGCTTGCTCTTCTCCACCGTGCAAGGACACGGTGACAGGTGTCTGTCTGCAGGCCAAGGGGAGAGGCCTCACCAGCACTCAACCTTGATCTGGGACTTCCAGTCTCCAGAACTGTGAGAAAATAAGTTTCTGCTGTTCAAGCCTTGCAGGCTATGTATTTTGTTACAGTAGCCTAAGCCAAGACAGCCATGAGAAAATGGCTCCAAATTCAAAAAAGAAAAAGAAGAACAGGAAACACGACCTACCTCTAGCATTTCTTCTCTTTGCTTCAGGGCCTCTTTCGCTTCAGCAAACTGGAACTGCAGCGTGCTGTGGGCATGCTTCTCCCTTTCGAATTCCTACAAAGGAGGAAGATGGTATTGAGGCAGCGGAATCACATTTTTTCCATCCGAGTTCATTTTCTTACGACTTACATTCCCCCTGGAACAAATTACCTGCTACTACGTCTGCACGATCTGCAAGGCTTGTTTTAACAACACAAATCCATCTCTCCGGACTTTGTAGAAGATATCAGATGACTTACTATAAAATTAACCTGAAGAGCTGATGGGACACAAAGTATTTAATTCTTCAATAGAATAATTGCGTCTTTTCCCAATCAGCAGAAGATAAATGAATATAATTTTCATAAAATCTTTGACACTCATAACTATTTCTCTATGGTGTTAAGAAAGAACAAAATAAATAAAAATCAAGGCCGGGCATGGTGGCTCACACCTGTAATCCTAGCACTCTGGGAGGCTGAGGCAGGTGGATTGCTTGACCTCAGGAGTTCGAGACCAGCCTGAGCAAGATGAGACCCTGGCTCTACTAAAAAAATAGAAAGAAATTAGCTGGACAACTAAAAATATGTAGAAAAAATTAGCCAGGCATGGTGGCGCATGCCTGTAGTCCCAGCTACTCGGGAGGCTGAGGCAGAAGGATCGCTTGAGCCCAGGAGTTTGAGGTTGCTGTGAGCCAGGCTGACGCCACGGCACTCACTCTAGCCCGGGGGACAAAGCGAGACTCTGTCTCAAAAAAAAAAAAAATAAATAAATAAATAAATAAAAATCAGGAGATACACATTAACCAGAAAATCTTGACGCATGTGATTGTGCCTCATCCAAGCATGTTGGCTCTTTCATAGGCATGTTTTTAAAAGGTTATGATTTTATCTTACATGTAAAACACTAATGTTCTCCTGGTAAAACTGTTTCTAGTTTACATATGGAAATTATGCATATCAATATTTCAAGTCACTCAGCAAAGAGCACAGTTTTCTTATTCTCAGGTGTCTTGGTTTCCTGGATAAGCGGAGAATGACTGTTTAAAAATATATAAACAATATAATATAAATTACATACTATACACACACATACACACACACACACACAATCCACCATTCTCTATCATGTTAAAGCTTACTTTGTTTTTCTCTTCATACTGTCGCCTAGATTCAGCCAGTTGTTCTTCAAGTTCCAACAACATATCTTTTAGAGTATCGACCTGGTACATGAAGTTTGTCTTTTCATTGTCTAGCTGAGCGTTGGACACCATGGCCTTCTTATATTTCTCCTCAACTTCTGCTAGGGAGTCCTGCGGGAAGGTCATGTTTTTGAAATTGTAGAAAGAAAACCAAAACAAAGATTAGTTCAGTATTCTTTAAAAAAACCCACAAAATTCAGCCCTAAATTTAGACTACATTTCTTAGAGTATATAAATCGGAGTAAGAAACACATGGCAATTTTAAATGCACAGAAATCTCCCCTTTTTAATTAAATCGAATTCTCATCACTCAGAAAATCAGTTACTGTCTGTGTCTAGAGGTGAAAGCGATTTATACACTCATTAGAACAAAGGAGACACACAGTGTGGAAAGAGCTGTGGTCACAGAGGATCGTCCCATTGCAGTGTGTCAGGGCTGTCCACAGGTTTCTGAAGTAATCACTCAAGACACGTGACCAACAGCTGGAAAAGAACCAGTGTGTGACGGCTGCGATAACTAAATATCCGCCACAACCCACAGGCGACTGCCAGTCATCCCTGTTCTGGCTTATGAACCAGGAAAGGATTAACAGTGACTTCAGATTTTTGACCTATAGGAAAACTAAACAAGGTGCACAGGTCTCACTGGGCAAGTCCTGGAAAGACAAAGGTCATTCCTTTCAAAGGGCGGCCCAAAGACAGACGCCTGCAAAATAAACATAGCGATGCCCTCCCACGGCTCACACCCTTGCGGGTCCCAATCCATGAACGGGGCAGGCGATTCCAGGAGAGCAGAGACAGATCGGAACCACTGGGGCACAAGGTATCTTAAGCTAAAAAAAGAGGTGGCAGCTGCCTGGTCCGGTGCGGCAGGTGCTGAGTGGCGGCTTCCTGGAGATCAGGGTTGGTCTCGCCGGGTACTGCCACCCCAAAGCAAAGATTTTAGGTGGGCCAGTGGTTCCAGGCTGGTTCGATAACTCCCTTTTTATATGAATTAAAAGCCAGAGTCTTAATTTTTCTCCCTTTCAAGTGAGATGACAAATATGAAATTGATGACTTTGTCATATGATTTATGTCACTTCCTCTGTTTGGTGTCCTTTGATACTGAATTCAGACTATTTCTCAGGTCCTTTATGGGGAGCTGAGAAGGAAGAAACAGATTTGCCATCTACTGCTAGATCCGCGATTTGCCATAAGCTGTCTGATGAAGACAGTCACTGACCACTCACCTCACCTTCCAGGAACACAGCACCCAAATTCCTGGCTGGCACGATGAAGTACTAAAAACCCCACACTCTAAACGTAGTGTGTATATACTCAAATACATCCAAGATGATGCACATTCAGACTTAGTAATCAATTAGTAAAATGTTATAGTATTGCAAATAACTTGGAATTTTAGAAGCATGGCATGTTGGGACTGCCTTATTGGTAGACATCAGATATTGTGAGAAGCAAATCAAATGAAGCATGTTTGCACGCAAAAAGTGTACTACAAAAAGTGAAGAAAACAGAAAACCTTCTTTAAGTGTCTGGTACATGTCTATGGGCAATTAGAAACTGGTTTTAGGCCTGAGGGAGGGATGGTGAGTAGAAGACATGCATGGGGAATGTGTTAGTTTAACCCCTTCAACTGGGGAGTTATGATTTCTTTTTCTTTTCTTTTCTTTTTCTTTTTTTTTTTGAGACAGGGTCATACTCTGTTGCCCAGGCTAGAGTACAGTTGTGTCATCACAGCTCACTGCAACCTCCAACTCCTGGGCTGAAGTGATCTTCCTGCCTCAACCTTCTGTGTAGCTGGGACTACAGGTGCATGCCACCATGTCTGGCTAATTGTTAAATTTTTTGTAGAAATGGGGAGCCCAGGCCCCCATAGTGTAGGACTACAAGCGTGAGTCACTGCACCCAGCTGGGAGTTACTATTCTCAAGTCTTGATTCAAAAAACTGCATTTGGGAAAATGGTGAGCACACACCTATGCTAGCATTCCTGCCGTTTTGAGTTCTACATCTGGAGTCTCTTTAGAGTAAGCATGCACTTTGAACTTCTTGAGGATTTTTTTAAGTTAAGTTGGGTTAATATTGTGAGACCACGCTTCCATAAACCGGTACCTTCATCTCTTTCAATCCCTGCATGTATCTGCCTTCTACGTCCTGAATCTGGTCCTTTAACTCACTGAGTTCCTGAGGAAAGTGGCAAAAAAGGGCAAATGATGTTACCGAAAAAGGAGTGATTCCCTAAATCTTTTATACTTTGGGGTAGTACCTATTATTTGGGTAGTTTGAGCACCCGATTTTCTTTTTTATTTTATTCAATGTTAAAGGAAAATAAAATAAATTTCAATACTACAAAGATTAAAATTTAGGTGTATATTGCATGATTTTACATAGTTTCAAAAAACAAGCAAAAGGGCTTCTGAAAACAGTACAGCTTATTCCACTCGTATTTAATGATTCCTTCGAGCACGCTGGGTTCCTACTCTGTGCAAGATACAGTAAGATGCTAGAGGTAAAAATCACCAAAACTTCGTCCTTGCACTCCGGAGTTCCAAGTTTCTACCCTGCCAAACTCCCGGTGCCCGAGACAGCGCCTGGCCTGAGCTAGCCTCCCCGTGAGCTCCTGCTGAACAAATGAAGGGCACTACGCCCTCAGAGCAGAGACAAATCAGGACTGCAACGAACTCTACTTCCGTGTAGGAAAAAAATAAACAAAGAGCTACAGAGGCCAAGGGGCAGCACAGGGAAACCGTTTTTTTGGTTTCATTTACTTATAAAACATAGGAGCTGGAAGGCATCTTCAAGGCAACCCAGTCCAAGCTCTGGTGGATACCTCAATCCCCTCTCTGCCCCCTGGGCAAACAGCCATCCAGTGCTCAGACATCACCAGTGGGAGCCAGTTCCCCTTTTAACCAGTACTAGTATTAGAGAGCTCTGTCACAAACACGGCCAGCTCTGACCCCTTCAGCTCCCTGTCCTGGTTCTGCCCTCCGAGGACAGAAGTTCTAGTAAACTAACCTTCCCTTCGAGTCATCTCTTTTTCAGATGCAATGTCCCTAGTTACTCTAAGGAACAGCATCGTGTGTGTCTTTCACACACAGAGATGGTCACCAAATGCCTGGCACCGTCCTGGCTGCCAAGGATAGAACAGAAAATGACTACATTCCAGTGGGAGAAAAAACTCATTAAATATAACAGCGAGGTCTACTAAAGGCAAGTGGCAGACAGAAAGGCAACGGCACATTCTAGACAGAGGGGGAAGATGCTCGGAGGCCAAGGTTGGGTGACAGCACTCAGTGTGGTCAGGGAGCAGGAAGCAGTCTGGCCACCACAGGTGCCAGGCACGCAGATGACCCAGCACATCCCCACGCCGTGGTGAGCGCTCTCGCTGGGTGTGCCCCGCTGGGCAGGGGAGGTCAGGGCTGCTTCCTGCAGGAGACAGTATCTGAGCTGGATCTTGGTGTTACCAGAATGCTGTGTTTTAGGGGAGGGAGGGGAAATGTTACTGAGAAGAAAGTTCTAGAAATTTATGAATTAGATCTTTTTTTTAATTAGAAGAATGATTTTCACAAAAGGTTCTTTTAAGTAAGCAAAGCGTCTTACCTTGATTTCCCTGATGGAGGCCTCAGTGTCGATGGAGATGGAGGTGTCCCCGCTGCCTCTCCGAGAGGACGTCCCTCCCAGAGAGGCCAGCGTGGCTGCAGACAGGCCCGGCATGCTGCGAGAGCCCTGCAATGTTGTGAGGCTCAGTTGTGATTTCAGACAAAACCAAAATTACGTATAAGTCTAGTATTATAGCGCCTTTACTTTAATGCCCTTTCCAGATTGGGAGATCTCCAGTGGGCATGTGGGAGGCAGTAGGAGGTTCCCTCTGCATCCCTCATGGATGCTTTGGGGTTTGTCTGGATGAACCTAAGACGGCCGGGGCCAGCGTGAACACCTTCGCTGCTCTGCAGGAGTTAGCACCCACTGGATGTGACCCCTGGGGGAGCCCCAAAGGGATGTGACACCAGTCTGGGTGGGCCACTGCCTTGTCCCGTTCACTTACTGGGGAATGTCTTTATTAAAGACCAAGCAACATGTTTTCTTGTCAGTTTCACCCATAAATCTTGGGACTCCGGGTTTTTGAATGATTCCTTACCTTCTCAGCAAAATCTCTGTCTGGTCTCTCTTCAACCTGTTCAGGAAAATGAACAAATATTAAATACTTATAAGCACTAAATGGATACCATGAATTTAGAGGGTAAGATTAAAAAAATAAAACATTAGCTTCCTTTGCAATTTAAAAAGTAAAAAGTGGGACTCCAGAAATTTGGCTTTTCACATCTTTCCTGTCTGGACGTCTCTCTGAGGCCTCCCCTCTCCTTTCCTCAGTAGAAGCCTCGGGGGGCCCAGAGCAGCCTACGGAGCTGCAAGAGGGTTCGCGGGAAAGCTGAACCCCAAGGGAGAGCCCTGGACTGTGAGAGTGTCTTGGGGATGAAAGGCGGCCGGGGCTGGCATCGGTGTTATTTTTGTCTTTGCTCAGCGCGCAACGAAAGACAGGTTTCTTTTTCTCTTTGCTTTTTTTTGGCACATTGAAAGTTCCTTATCACAAGCCCGCTGGGAAGGTTATAGGGCTTGAGTTTGTCTCCAGACTCTCCGGGACGAAGCTGTCACCTAATCACGCTTTCCCCACCACCCCTCCAACCCACTTCCTGCAGCTCAGAACTTCTTCACTTGGCCAGAGAATCAAGTGAAGACGTGTGTGGCAGCTGCAGACCTCTGATTCAGCAGATCCGGGAGGCGACCTGGGAGGCTGCGGTTACCCTGGCGAGCTCCCGCAGCAGAGGGTTCAGACTGCAGTCCGACAAACCCCCGCCAAGCTCTGGCGGGTACACTTAAACTGCTCCTGAGGACATCGGTGCAGGGAGACCAACGGCAGCTCAGCACAGGGGTGCAGGTGCCAGGCACACGCTCAGGGTGCCGGAGAGACAGTGATCTCCAAATCACCGTTTCCTGTCTGGTGGCCTCTGAGTCTGGGCTGGGCCCGATGCCCCTGCACTGCCCTGTGCCCACCGAGAAAGCTCACTGCTGCCACCTCCCCTCCTCTGAACTCCTTGCACCTTCCACTTCTCCTCCAAGCACACCTGAAGCAACCACTGAAACAAGGTAGCAAAAAGTGACAGCCAACCAGCCAATCAAGGGGATCAAATGGAATCACCCGAGTAACCCAAAAGAAGGCAAACTCCAAAGCCAGCTCTTAGCTCAGGACGACCAAGCGCAAGGGTCTTCTGCCCAGCGGATCCAGGTTTAGCCCCGCGGGTCTGGCTCCTGAAGCCGCCTTTAGTGTGAACTTCCCACTCTCATCTAACCAGTTTCCTTAGTGTCCTAAGAGCAGGAGAGGAAATAAGCGGAGAGGCCCTCAGATCCGCAGGACGGATCCAGGGGCGGGCCAGTCTCACTCCCCACTTTGTTATTAATAAATAAGCCTCCTGGGCGGGCGGGGTTGCGGGGCTTGAATTCCCAGCGGTCCCTCTGCCTGGAGGATCTACTTTCCGCTTAGCCACAGCCACTGTCCTCCAAGGGCCAGTCAAGGCCACATGTGTCATGGGAGCTTTCCCCAACCTCAGCCCACTCGCAACTCGCCTCCCTGACGTCCCTTCTCACTCCTAACGGGCACAGTTATGCTGGCAGACGGTCACTGTCCAGGTGTGCCACACCACCTGCGTCTGTTGACGTGTGTTGGTATGTGCAACAGTGCACACCTAGAATCATTCTTCCAGACGTGCCTGCCACATCGGCCTCACTATGTATTTTGGGGCTCTGAGGCAGCCTCCGATGGAAACAGTTCTGCCTCACCCAGCAGAGCCCCAGAAAGCCCTGCGCCAACGTTCTTGGCTGTGAGGATGACTTTGGCATTCCAAGTGTGGTTCTTCTCTTCACTTGGGGGCAAAAATATTCCTGCGATATTTTTCAAATTAAAATTTCAAATAACTATGGAAAAGTGAACTTCCTGATACCTCCTCTGCTGGGGAACCAATTCATTAAGTCTCCTGGGCCCAAGGCCTTCATCCCTTAGAATAAGTCAGTTTGCAGAACAAACATTAATTACATGTTAAATTCCATTTTGTTTGTTGTCCAAATTAAAAGGGACACATATACTGGCTACTTTTCCTGCAGCATAAGGTGCGTAGAGCCCCTCGGGGCACCTGCCAGGCCCCGGAAGCCGTCGCACCCCCCGAGAGCTCCCGCTAGAGGGCAGCGAGTGCCGGCGCGGCCTGGGCCGGCCAGGAGAGCGGCTGCGCGTCATAGAGCCCCTACGCAGGGGTGGAGCAGCAAGCCGGACGGTGGGTTTAATTTTGACATGTAACACAGTATTTTATCTCTGAAAATAATGCACCAAGAAACTGAATAAATGAAAGGACTTTAAACATTGACAAGGTGTGGGGACCACGTGGAGATGCCGGCCTGCCTTGGCCACGGGCGGCTCCCAGGTGCTCACCCACACCAGCCGGCCCGGCCAGGCCAGGGCACACGCCTCGCAGCCCACGCACTTCATCACTCTCATCCTCCAAGCAAAACTAAACATTTTAGGCTCATGGGAAAACTTCATACCGACAGGTTTATAAAATACGTACATCAATATTTCATGATCACGACTGAGTGTGCAAAGATATCTTTTAAAGCCTACTGGAAATAGTCACTTCTAAAAAATGTCTGTGGAAGTTTTGTTTATGGCAACTTTTCCTTTCAAAAACAAATGCTTAAAGTAAGTATTTTATGAATTCCAACCTCTAATGTGGTGTCTAAATGAGTTTACTACTTAGGCTCTTGTAAACATGGTGCCCCGTAAGGTTTAAAATGCCAGGTTTTCCACGTCACCAGCTGCTTGTCCCCTTTCCTAGAGACAGAACACAATTCGTGGGCACCTGTCCATGTGCACAGAGACACCCTACTCGAGGGGACAGGCCCAGAAGGAACGTTTCCTCCTGGTGTCCCCAACTCCCAGCCAGGCGACACCAGACCCCGATGGGAAACAGTCACCTAAAGCAATGTCTCTGCAGGGTCCCTCTCAGACACAAACTGACAACAGGAAACATTGCCCAGAAAACACCCATTTTTAGGGTAATTTTCATTCAAATTTAACTGACGGCAGAGTTTATCATTGGGTGGAAACGTTTGGTTTTAAATCCAATAATACTTACATTATCCTGAATGATTTATCCTTGAACCCTTTTGTTTACAATTCAGGCCCATTTTACCTCCTAGTCCCTGCCCTGCCTCTTCATGCAACATAAACATGAGTCACAACAGTCTTGTTTTTCTCGTTCGCTCATGTTTTCTCTGGATACACAGGTAACATGGGGACCTCGGCTCCACTCAGCACATTCCTGATGGACGTTTCAGAAACGCGCGCTGGGCTCCCAGTGGGACCGTGGGGCCTGGAAGTGTCGGCCTCACCGGACAGATGGTCCTCAAACCTCCCGATTCCAACTCTCTCCGAGCACCTTCGTCTCTCCCTCGCGGCCGCGCTGCTGAGGTTCATACCTTACGTGTGACCATCGGGGGAGCACCCATGAGGACACGGACAGGTCTGTGTTTGCGCACACTACAGCCCAGGGCCCGGAACATTCTCGGTGCTCAGGGACTGGATGAGTGAACCACAGCTTCCTCAAGGAGGAGAGCCGGGACGTGTTGGAGAGGAAGAGACGGCTCCTCTTCAAGGATGGGCAGAAACGAGAATGAGCCACAACCGCATTACACGTCCCTGTGAGCCGCAGCCCTGGGAGGACTCGGGGTGGGGCAGACTCTAGGTCCTGGTGCTGCTAGGTGGTCTTGGACACCGCAGCGCTTTTTCTCAAAGTGGGACAAGTGACCGTTTCCTTCATTCTGGTCACTTCTGCTCTTTAATAGCACTGCCCTCCCCCCACCCTCTGGGGCGCCAGCCTTCCTTTCTCTCTAGCAGATGTGAGTCTCCCGAACCCAGGGCGGGCCGCCCCGCCGTGACCTCCTCTTTCCTGCCTCTGTCCTCACTCGTACTGGCCCTGGGCGCACGGCCCTGATGAAGTGCCAGGCGGGGCAGCATTTCCCACGAGCCACCACGCTGCAACATTTGTGTCGTCCCCTGGATAACCTAGCTAGTGAGAAATAGATTAACCGTGCCTCAGTTTTTTAGTTGTGTTTGTTTTTAAGGATGTCAAGACCCTTCTTTCCAGAATCTCAAGAAGTTTATGTGCCTGGTCAGATGTTGCCAGCCAGGAACGAGCACTGTGACGTTTGAGCCTGGGTCCTGTAACTCCCTGTCCCCTGAGGAAGGCCAGACCGAGGGGTCATTCACCTTTGCTGTGACACTCACCCCGGACGCTTCCCGGAACCGGCTGCTCCTCCAGGGCGGAAGGAGTGAAAGAAGTCCCAAGCCAGATTGTATAAAGGAAGTTCTATGCTAACGAGCAGCTGAGTATCTTACTACTATTGCTCGATCGGTTCTGGGGAGACTTTTAATGAGGAGCAGTAAGCGCCCGGAGTTTGTGTGGTGTTTGCCACACACCTGACATGTTCGGCCACCTGGTCTCTCTCCCTTCTCGCTGCTCTCCGGGGCCCCTGTGAGGCCGGTGGGCACAGCTGCATGTGAGACAACAGTGGGGTCTGCAGGTTCCGGGGGGGGGGGGCAGCCTTCGCGTCCACAAAGCCGCAGGCTCCCGCGCGCTAACGCCCACCCCTCTTGGACTAGCTCCGCTGTCTCACTCTCCGTGGCGGGACGTGGAAAGACACGTTTCTCCAGCATGGGGAAAAGCACTGCTGGGAGCCCAGTGACGGACGGATGGCGCCTGGGCCTTGGCCCCAGAGTCATGGAAACGGGGCGGGTGGGGACGGAGGCTGCTCCACTCACTGGTGCGGCCCCAGAGCTGCCAGAGACTCCCCTGTTTTCTTCCCCAGAGCAGCTGAAATCTGCATTTGGTAGGAAATCTCACAGTTTTAAAAGACTGCATCTGATTTAAAACACAAACAAATCACCAGCACGATAAGGAAAACTGGCCAAACAGGTACCTCTGTGCAAGGGGGACATCTCAGCCCTGCAGCTGCTTGTTTGATTACAGAACAGTCCGCAAATGTTTAGGCATCAACACACTGAAGTACGGTGTTGGGTAACCAAGTTAAGAGCCACATTTAAACTTCTCTATGGCTGGGGGTTACGAG